ATATGCATATATATAATATATATGAGACAATACTAATTTCTCTACTTCTTGCCACTCCCCGTTTGACTAATAAACTTTATATAACGCTTATAGTTACTGACCTGCCTTCTTACAGCATCAGAAAAAACAAGTGTTGACATGCTGGATTGGTTAATCTGAGCTCTCAGGGTAATCCACGGCCAATTCCAGACAAAAAGGGAACAATCATCTAAGCTGTTTTTAAGGTTATAATTAACAACTTTATCTTAAATTTCATTGTATTGCAACACAAAACATGCTGTGTTGTTTCTTACATTACATAAAAACACTTTACCTTTTCTATCCGTCTTACTAATACTAAAATAAGACTTTGTTGTTAAACTCCTTCAACAAAACACATTGGCTTGGTTAGATCCTACTTTGTGAAAAGCTAACAGCACCCTCTTGTGTTTATGATGTGTTATGCTACACTCCAGTTACCAATAAAGCCTAGGGGCAACACAGGCCTGATGTTCATCAGATCAATTACAAAATCCAAATCCAAAGAGGAAATAGTGATTTATTATATATTTTTTGTTAAATTTGTTGATTCCACTTCAATGAATGCTGTTTTATTTATTTTCACAATCTTTATGCAAAAGTATTCAAACCACATAGTTGCATTTGATGTAAAATTCACACTCTAAAATATGAGACCATGTAGATGAACCTGCACAATGTGAAAGGCGCGGTAGTCAGGTGACTAAAACTAAATCTTCCTGTTAACATGCCATAGGTACTCATCACTCTTAGCACACCAGCCCAGTTACTTAACACAATGACCCTCCCTTGATTGGCAGTGGTAGTGAGAGTAAAATGTGGCTGACTGGTGGCTTTTCTAGAATTTTGTCTGAAAATACTATTTGTTCCCCCTTTTGTTATGCCTCAGAGTTCTGTTTTCCTTTCTGCTGATCTGTCACATAAAACAGTATTGAATCCACTGGGCAGAAGGCATTGTTCTAACTTCATTCAAATCAGATTTTTTAATGCACTCTTTATCACATGCTTTCCCTCCTATTAAGTAACAACCTACTTCATCAGTGTAACTTTTGATGTGTTTTTCCATCTGTGCTCAACAGTTACTTAAGGAGTCCTCATTGTGTAATAAAACACAAATTTGGATAAAATCAAGCAAGTGCTCCAAAATCAACAGAATATGAATTATTATATGTCTGTTACTTAATTTGGCTAATCAAATTTTTTAACTTGGCTCATATATGTAGATTGAAATAAAAGTTACTCAGTGTCTCTTTTTCTTATTGTTGGACAGTTTGGTAAAATGGACAAACTAGATGATGGTATTTGACTGTTAATTGGCATTTGACTAATAAATACATCAACTAACAAAATAAACTCCATAGTGATTATCATAATTATTGTTTTTTAAAACGTGTTTACTGTATACCTGGATAAACACATCGCCCAGTCTATGCCTCTTGTTAAGAAACCAGCAGGAAAGACTAGTAAAACCAGGTTGTTACTTTGTCCCTGAGCCTCACCCTTAGTCTCTGGGTGTTCACTGACTTGCCCCAGTTTATGCAACACACTAGTCATTCCTGTAACGGTCAACTTTATTAACCTCCCCATGCACCTGTGGCAGGCTTGTGGCGCGCCCAGAAAGGACACTTTGTTCTGTTTTGGACACACGCAACTAACTACTCACATAATGACTGCTTTCTTATTGTGAATCTGGTATTGTGCTGTTGTGGTGATAACTATCATTTAAAGGATTAAAGATAAACTATATGAAAAGGTGTCCAAATAACTTGCTTTTTATCAGGCATTGTTTATGAATCATTTGATTTATCTTCAACTTCAATGTTTTTCACACATAAATCAACATTTCTGCCCAGTTGAGCTGCATTTTGCAATCCTCTCCTTCCCAGCAATAGATGGCAAACAGAGAGATATAGGTTTGTAAAATCACATTGGAGCAACACACCACAGACTGAACTTACTTTCCAGCATACTGTCAAAGTTTAGAAAAAAAAAAACATCCCAGGGGTTTCATTTTTCAGCAACTCTATTTTCAAAAATCTATCTTGATTACTTTGGCTTTAAATGTCAGTGTTGCTTAGCATCATCAGCTGTGACTCATGTCCCCCAATCTAATCCTACAACAAAACGACAGACAGAAAAGCTGATTCATTATTAGAGTGGGGACAATGCACCTTCTCTAGCAGAATAACCGACCATAGTTACAGTGGAAAAATTGTTTGTTGGACACCAGGAAAAACACAAAAAAACTATTTAAGCCAGCTGCTTTTTGATTCGCAATGACTCAGGGCAGTGTTGTTTTTAACTGCTGGTTGTATAAACTGATGGGAGGTGAACAATTAACTGAAATGACAAAGTTATAAAATATGCATTTATGCAGGTGGAGCTCAGTGAATGCTAAGAATTTGCTTAAACTAAGCTAAAAATTAGGGTGATGTCAAGGAGGCTTTGGACTTCAACACTAAAGATAAATTGTCTAAATATAATGGAAACACTCAACAGTTGCTCAAAAGTTGCAATCATCATTGCCATTAATCATTAATTTTCACTGGATTAGTGAGAAGAGTATCTGTTACTTTTAACTAAAAAGAATTGTGTTTTTTAACAGCCATTAGGAAGCATTTTTTTTTTTACGAGGAAACACGTGTTAAATTAAAGTGTGTAAAAAAAGAAGCATTGCGGATACATCTTAGATCCACTTCAAATGCAAGAAGCCACAAATATTACTTCTCCAATTTCTAAAGATGAATTATGTTTAATCGATGGTTGATTTGTTGGTATAACTCACTTATGACAAAAAGGAAATAAAATGGAGGAACATTTGCATCAACGTATTGTGCTCAGTTCCATTTAGCTGTGGAAGTCATAATTCTTCCATTGATCACACACTGTGGAAACACTCCCTCTACACAGCCATCACATTCCTGTCCCTAAATACACTTCACAATGACAGGTCCAGTTGAACAGAGTTTACAGAAATAATTGTTTTTCACTTTCTGTTTTCACCAATTGTTGTAATGATTTGGTCTATGAAACAGCTATTGCTTGCAATATAAGTTTCCATTTAAAATGGTTAGGGTTAACAGAAAAAAAAAGAAATAAATCTATGGGAGAATAAACACTGAAAAGTTCTACTTCCCATAGTGGATATATATTGACTTCTGCCTCCTTTTTAAGCTTACTTTTCATTAATGTTTTATATGAAATTTATTTTTGTTTATCCCCTGGGTTCCCCTTAAGTCTGCTTACTAAGCTGCCTAACTGCAGAATTAATTTGAAGTATATGTGTTTTTATTTTACACCCCTCATATATTTACAAGTGTTATTGTTCACGATATGAAAACTAACATCACTGTAATTCAAGCTGAGTGTCTTCTTTCCAACTCATTATTTGCCATTTTGTCCAACCATTTTTACACAGTTTACCATAAACAAAAATCTTGACCAGACCAGCTCTACTCTATGTCTTGTTTTTCGTTTTCTTGCCGAGTTATCCTCTCATTTCTGGTAGCCTCCCACTCTTGCGTGGATCTGGTGGATCTTTTGTTTACATGATAAATGAGGGACAAAGACAATTATTTAATGTAGAAATCCTGCTCAACATCTACAGTACTAGCGTTTAGCTGATGCTAACCCTCTAATAACTATGCCGTTATTTATTTTACTGGTCAATTTTATTTTTATATTACAAAAATTTTCTTCTTCTTTAGGACCCCCCTCAGTCAAGGGCCCTTAGAATCATCATAGCTTTTGCCCCCCATATGGCGCCCTTGGGTGGAACAAAGAATTAGAGGAAAAAAAAAAAAAGGTGGCTTTGAGTCAAGCTACTTGATTGGCCAAATATGTCAACTGCAGATGTTAATGGCTATTAGGGGGTTCTAATAGGCCATTAACTCCTTTGTCGGAGTGGTTTCAGTCACATGCCTCATTGAAGCATGAGTCAGGTGAGGGCAGGTGAGAGGCGAATCTTCTGGTTAATGTTCATTTGCTTTGTAAGTAGGTGACAGGTTATGTCTAAGACCACCTCCTTTGTTGAGAGATGTTTTTACCAGAATAACAAAAATGGCTTCCTTAACCCCTCTTTCAAATCATTGTTCTTCCGTGGCCAGAATATGGACCGTATTGTCCTCAATGAGTGTCTTTTAGACTTCAGGTGTAGTTTAACAGCTGAGTCCAGTCCCAAGGAGTTGGCCCTCCTGTGTTGAGCTATGCGCTTTGTACTGGTTGCTTGGTCTCCCCATTTTACAGCTCTGTGCAGGAAGGCAAGACTGTCATCTTTTATATCTTTCCAGGTGAACTTGAAGTTTTCTGTCCATTGCGTTGATGTGGTCTGTAAACATGTTGATATTGTATCCTTGGTCTTTTTATTTAAACAAATATGTCATCTATCACCTGCCCTCACCTGACACATGAGGGAGTTATTAACCCATCAGAACCCTAACAACCATTAACACCCCCTGGGTGACCTTCATGGCCGATCAAGTAGGAGGGATCAGAGCCACGTTTTTATCCCCTTACTCTTTGTTACCCCTACAGTGCATTGATATCAATGTTCTATACCATCAGTTAGAACTGTGGAAGCATTTGGCCATCAGGAAAACCTAAAGTCTAGTTGCCTAAACTGAACATTTCAAGCTTGACCATGGCCTGGATGACAGAGAATCTTCACAGAAACAAAGAGTTAAACTGATACCTCTTTGAATGGACACACACTGCATACATCATCGACTAATTAATGAGAAAAATGTCCTGATGGCCCATACTAAGAAAAGCCACTTACTTCAAGAATATTGGAAACACATTGAGAGGTGGTATGAATTAATTAATGGCCAAGAGTCAGCAGGAAGCTTAATGGAAAGACCTTAGTCTAGGTCATTTTCTTTGAGGAACATATTTAAAACTATATGGAAATAAAAGAAGCAAATATGTTATATTTAATGAAAAAGTGTATTTAGAGACACTAAATAAGAAATATAAACTCAACCTTTTGAATAAAAACATATTTATTTTTGGCAAAGAAACAACAAATCTTACAAAAATAGCAGATAACCAGTGCAAAAAGTCTAAACTACTCATTTAACAATACTTGTATCACATGTAGCATTTTTTCATCCCATTTGCACCTTGTCTTCATATAACATTGGCCAGTGAAAGTTTCATAATTTAAGTGCCTTCAAATTGTTACATTTTAACAAAGAATATTTTGATGACATCGTTTTCAATTATGATATGACCAGAAAAATAAAATATTTTAAAACAAACCAGTAACAAGACTTTAGAGGGTCAAAAATCGTTGAAACCTTAAGCCTCTCACAAAAACCACCACCCCGTTTCCGTCAACTCACCAGCAAGTTTAACGGTACATGGTAATAAATTGTACTTCAGTGTTGCACGCATTAAAGTATTCTTACATTTATGCTATGATTAAGTAATCAAATTAAATTGTAGCTTAGATTTAAAAGATATTTCTATTGTGTTTTAAATCAAAAGTCATTAGAAAATCTGACATTCTATCATCTAACATTGATTCTTCACATTGCTGTGAAAGCCAGCATACAAATGGTAACCATCAGAGCTGTAAAACAGAGAAGAGAAGATAAATTACTTTTTGTTGACATTTCTTTCTTAAGATCCTGCATCTTTTGAGAAAAACCACTAAGAAATGTTTTAAGCTTACCTGGCAAGAATGACAGTGTGGCTGTCACAGGATGAGCAGAGGCGTTAGTAGTGTTGGTGGTGAGCAAATTGGTGATGTTGGCGCTGGGGTCCGAGAGGTTTACCCGAGATGTCAGTATGGCAAAGGTTGCTCTTCCAAATGCCAAAGAACCTGAGAGAACATCAAAATATCATTACATTTATATGAATAAAAAAAAATGCTAAATATTATTTGAGTCTAGGCAACAGTTGATGAATGCTTAAAGTGAATGCTTACTAGCGTTGAAGGATCCAGTTGAAACAGACAAAGAGTAAGTTGCTTCTGCTCGTGCACTTGTGTCTGGTAGCTCAGCGGTAAAAGTACACTGGATTTTACCACTGGCGAACGAGCCTCGCTCATTGCTTGAGTCCAGTGACTGAAAAGAAAACACTTGATTAACTGCCTGTTTAGCCATGATCACCATACAAAACTTGGTTTATACAAACTGACAATGTACCTCCGACCACCACACACACACAAACAGAAACACACCATCTATATGAATACATAACTCACCACTGTTGTATTTAGTTCAAAATTATCAATGGTGGCAGTGAAGAAACGGACAGAACCATTGTTGTTTGCACAAATATAGGCTCTGTGAGAGCCAGCCTTTGGATGATGACAACACAGTATTAATTTCATGTATTTAAATTAAGAGGTACTTTCTTCTTGAGCCATAAAATAAAACATGCAATACCTGACTTTCAGCAGTTGAGAGGCCAGCAGCAATGTAGCCGTCAGACTGTCCTGACAGTTCAAAATCAAATGTTTGGCTGCTTCGTTCCTTGGCCGAAAGGAAAAAACAATTGTCTCCTGTAGAAGGATCACAATCTGTGGGTCTATCCGCACAGAGCTTTGCGGAACCACAATCATTCCGAGTAATAGTTCCCTGAAAGTGTGAGGACAGATATTATAGATTTTGAATCTTAAAAACAATGATACAGGATAAAGAAATGAACAGGCAAAAAGGAGGAATTAGTAAACCTTATAAATCAGTTTTTTTGGACACATTCACACAGATGGGTGTTCATTTTTAATTATAAACAAGACATTAAAAAAATAATATAGTTCAAAAGAGAAACAGAGGAAAATAGCCTTTTCAAATTTATGTTATTACTGTAATCAAATCAGGATCATCAGCTCATGATTAAAATTCATGCTGAACATTTTGACACTGATTAGCCCTTTGATACATTGATGTGGGTAGTTTAGCAGTTATATGCACTCAGAACCACTGAGTCGAAGGTGAACTCCCTGGTAAGATCCAACTTTCTGTCAAAAGGGCTATGCACATGACCAGCATGAGGCTTCAGAAAACATCCTCAGAGTTTTCACCAGATACAGTAGTTCTCATAAAACGTCACCATTGTCTGAGTGCAATGAACCCAAAAGAAGCTTTCCGCTTCAATGATCGCACGTAAGAGAACCACAATGGTTGTATATTGTTGGCTTCAAGGGAGTGAAAACAAAACTGATAAAACCAGAAAGGGTAGTTTTCATTTACGTCCTGATAATCAAAAAAGCAGGGCTAACCAAATTTTTCTATCAAGCATCGAGTGTCAAGTATCCAGAAAAAAGAAGCCATCCAATACAGCACCCATTTGCACTATGGACATTTATAAAAATGTTTCAAAACAGGCAAGTTAGCTCTTTAAAGTTAAACTCTTCATTAATACATCTAAATGTAAAAATGTCCATATCATCTTAAATAAACAGTCATTCTGATTTGGAGACTCTAAATATTTATTGTGTAAGCATGCAAAACTCACAAGGACAAAAACATGAGTTGCAGCAACGCTTTTTTCTTACCAATTATTTTTTCTTGATCCATATTTTATGGATCAATATAACAAGCCACCTTTGCTTACTACTTTCTCAGCAACACATCAACTACTGTGCCTTTATAACATTCTTTAGCACTGGACAAAGACATAGCTAATTAGTAAAATCCCTGAATATTATATAAACTAATAAGTCTAACAATAAATGTAAAAAGGGTCTTAAAAATGTTCAAATCAAACATTTTCATCCTGTTTTCAATTACAACATATTTGAAATGACCGGCTGTGCGTACAATATTATGCCTAAAATTGTTCGCAAGATGCAAAAAGAAATCTTGCCACAGGCCTCTTGCTTCTTATGATTTGAAAGTGCACAAACAAACTGGACTTCTGAAAATCTTCTATTTATTGTTTTGTGACTAAAATATTTGGACTTAGAACCAAAGACTTGTTGGAATAAACTAAAAACAACAAGCAAAGATGGGATATCATAGCAATCATGGATTATAAAGCTGGAATTATAGCAAATCCTGACAATCTCATCAATTTATTAATGACAATGAACTCTACTGTATTGGACAATGCTTCTGGAAATCATGACGTTATTGTTTTTAAAACAATTTCCATTTGGCAATAATTCTAGCTATTTGTGAATCCCTTACCTGAAGTCCGGGGATGTTTACTGTTGAAGTTGTGTTGGCGGTAATCTCGTTGGTGACAGTGGCATTAGGATTTCCCAGGTCTACGGGTGAGGTCCTTATTATATCAGTGGGGGCCCCCAGACTATTGTCGGCTGAGAGTAGAAGCACATATTTTTAAGCTAAATAATATCAGTATTGGTAAAAGTTAAAATAGTTTTTGGAAGTCTTTGTGATATGTAGCTTACTGTCATTAAACTCTCCTGTCGAAACTGAAAGCGAGATGCCGGTTGCACGAGCACGCCTACTTGTCACTGGGACTGTGGCAAGAAAGCGGCACTGAATTCTGTTGCCTTCAACCTTGCCCCTTACTGAGTTAACACTGAGCTGCAGAGCAGAAAGTACAGTTATTTTTTATTTCAATTTTTTTTGACATATCATATTTTAAAGAAGAGAGCAAACTTGCAAGCTGTTAAACAAGATACAAAACAATATGTATGGTTGGTTATCATTAAACAATGAAGCAAAGCAGCAGAACTCACATTTGAAACTTTCAATATACCATTTACACGGCGAGTAGTAAAGAATCGAACACTACTCCTGCTGTTTGCACAAACATATGTTGGGTCTCCCTGTGGAAGGATAAAAGGATAAAGTAAATAAAATCATATTAAATTTTATTAATTATCCACTTTGATCCACTATACAGTAGATGATCAGCTACGTGTTTTACAAAATTTTCAAAACACAATTAAAACATTTAAAAACCATAAGTAAAAAACTCTTTGCATTGTTGTTAAATTATCTTTAAACATGTTGATAATATTAAATTACCTCTGGGCCACCACCCGACAGAGTGGCTGCAATGTAGCCTGCTGATTCTCCTGAGAGATCAAAGTTAAAGTTGTTACCACTTTGCCGTCTGGCACCAAGAAAGAAGCACCGTCCATTCCCGGGATCACAGCTTGCGGGCTCAGCTGCACACAGCTGCGTTTTTCCACAATCCGTATTAACAAGGTTTTCCTGCAAAAGGGACACAGACCATCTTAGTGGGCAGAATGGTTTAAAGTTTAAGTGTTCTTAAATTCATCTACGATGTTCGCTATCCTCATTTTATTTTTTTTTAAAGCTCTTTCACTTACCTGCAGAGGTGCCACTGAGGTGTTTGTTACTAAAGGTGGAGCTTGTGTTGATACGGTTGTATTTTCAGCTTGGGTGTTGTTCATGTTGCCGGTTGGTGTTGTCGAAGTATTGCCAGGATTTGTCATGTTTCCTGTCATTGTCGCCATGTTGCCAGGTGGCATTGTGGTCATATTGCTGTGATTTGTCATGTTTCCTGTCTCTGTCATGTTGCCGGTTGGTGTTGTCGAAGTATTGCCAGGATTTGTCATGTTTCCTGTCATTGTCGTCATGTTGCCAGGTGGCATTGTGGTCATATTGCTGTGATTTGTCATGTTTCCTGTCTCTGTCATGTTGCCAGTTGGTGTTGCCGAAGCATTGCCATGATTTGTCATGTTGCTAGTTGCTGTTGCTGAAGTATTGCTTGAACTTGTCGCATTGTTTGTTGTGTTGGTCATAGCGTAGGTACCCAAAAACTTCCATGACAGAGTCACCAGCAGCACACAGAGGATAAGCCCTTTATCCATGCCTATAAGAAGGGATATGATAAATATTATGTCAGTTTGTTAGATAGATGTTGTTTAGATAGGCGTTGATGTAAGATGTATGTAAGTGTCAAATTTTCAATTTCTCCTAAAATATATTGAACATTTAATGTTCATTTAGTTTGAAATAATATGTCTCACTGTGTAGTAAAGAACATTCCAATAATCTGAAATAATTATAAAGTAAATAAAATAGGAAACATTGTTTGCAAGTTGTCTGGCATACTAACCTGCAACGTAAATATTATTATGAAATCTTAAACATCTTCTCTATACCCTTGTATAATTCCGTTTGTTTATTTTAGTTTATTCATATATCACCAATTAAAAACATCTCAACGCACTTTACCAAGAAAGTCAGTTAAATTAGATCATACAGAGAGGTTAAAAGTGCTTTATCTAACTGAACCCAGCTGATAATATGGAATCAATGACTTTGCCAAACTCTAATAAAAGGATTACATTTTAAAGTCAGGCATTAACACATCGTAAGAAATAAAAAGTTTTAAGAAATAAACAGACAGTCAATGAAATTATGATGTTCAGGTGTTCATATGGGGAAATTTAGCAGTTTTGAATTTACCAGAAGCTATTCTGTGGATTTGTATATTATTCAAAACTCAAAACACACAGTTACTTGTCAGACATCTTTGTAAAATACAATGTTAAAAAAGCAGACAAAATATGAGCATTACAAGAATTTTATTACTGCTTATCTATAATTGATATGTCTTTCCGTATTCTGTAGTTATTGCCATGAGAGTCTTGCCACATCAGCTTGTGTTCTCCTGTTTAGTATCCTAGTTTATGTGCATCTAGCTTCCTCTCTGGTAAATAGATGTAATCCAGCATCTGCCTTGCCTTTATTTTGCTTTAGCTGCTTCGCATTTCTTCAGATTAGCTTCTCTGTTTTACTCCTTCTCGCACCCGACCTAAGGGTTTAAGCTAACTTGTTCTCATTATTCATCATAGGATCCTCCAGTAATGCTGCCTGTTTTGCTGTCTGTTATCTTGCGCATTTCCTAATCATAGTTTCATATTCCTGTTGGTTCTGTTTCTTCTTTCAATGCTACTTCCAAACTGCTCCTACTATTAAAGAAAGAGGTCTGACAAAAAAAACGTTATTCTTTAAAATGTTTCTATAATTAAATCAATGACACAATCTTCCATATACGGAGTTAAAAGTTATGCTTATTGTTTTTCTGTCTACTGTTTTAACATTTTTAAACCTTTAAGTACTTTTAAATTATCTACATACGATGGAGGTGTGAATTGTCCTCTAAATATTAGTTATCCCTGGTAAGTTGAAAATTGTCACATTGTCCATCCATCCATCCATTTTCTGTCACCCTTATCTGAGAGGTGCTGGTGCCAGCTGTCAATGGGCGAGAGGTGGGGTACACCCTGGACAGGTCGCCAGTCTATCGCAGGACATTGTCTCATTGTATGTAATCATACTCTCACTTTTATAGGAAAGCGGCAGTGGACTGCTGAGGCTAAAACAGAAGTTATTAAGCAAAACTTCTAACTTTCCAAAAAAAATATCTGTTGTAGGCCATACCTATTCATATAAAACAAAACATTTCTACAAACATTTATGTACTTTATTTACTAAAGATGTAGGATTTATCATTACTAGTTTATGTTTAAGATTGTTAACCTCAGTAAATCACCCTTAAAAAACATTTCTTGTTGCTTCTTTAACTGGTCATTGGTTGAACATGATGAAATTTGCTCTATAAACAAGTCCACAAATTCCTTTCTAGGAAATTTCTGGTGAAAAGAGGTAGATAATGATGCTTATAAACCTAAATCATTTATAGCAGTTCTGCCTGAAAAAGTGGCTAAAATTTTAGCATACTATTGTTAGAAGCTTGTGGAAGGATATCCAAATGATACAATGCAATTCATTTAGATTAGACCGGCTATATTTCAAGTAACCTGTGTTAACCTTATCAATTAATAAAGTAAAAAAAATAAAGAACTATAATTTAAATTCTTTAACACTAGTGAAATAATGTAACATAAAGTATTTTGCAATGGAGAACAGTTGTTTCAGTTCCTACCTTTGAATCTTCTTATTCTCAGTGTAAATGGTTGTTCCTTAGATTTAAAATCTCTTATAGTTTTGTTTCCAGATATGATTTGCAGGTGGAGTAAATCTGATGCCTTCTACAGCCTCCAAAAAAGATGTGACACCTGTTCACTCTGTTTCCATTTATAAGCTCAAAGGGAGGAGTCACAAAAAAACAGAAAGAAAACATGACACATTAAATATACATACTTTTAGGATATTCCACCATGCAGGTTGCAGGAAATAGCTTAAGGGTATGAGACAATGGAATACTTGTAAGATAAACCTTCCAAACTGCTATGAAGCTGTCTGTTGGTGTGTGTGTGTGTGTGTAGGGTTTTGTGTCTCTGCAGATACTCAATGCTGACAGAGAATTTTTTTTTCTGTATTTCAGTGTGGTCACTTTAGGAAACTCTTTTTTTTATTTTGGTCCTAAGTCAGGGTTTATATTAATTAAAACTGTTCATGTTCAATACAGACTCCAATGCAGCTTCACTGTCCAGGGATGATTGAATCATTTTTAGAGGTGTGTCAATTATCTTATTTTTAAAACAATAAATCTTATTCATAAAGTCATCCCATAAAGTCATTGCTGCTCAGAGCTGGGGAAATGGGCCACCTAACAGATCCATAGCTCTGTCTAACTTTGGCAATTATAATAAAAATAAATTTATGATTATTCTTATTCTCATATTGCGTTGCGCTATTAATAGGGTTAAGTAGGACTCCTGTTGACGTATAGGGCATCATATTAGCTTCAGTGATAAAGTTATTCTTTTGGGATGCACTAAAGAAAAAAAAAGGACAAAGTATGAGCAGAGTGGTGTATGCAGTTCAATGCAGTGAGGAATGCACTGATCTTTATATTTGACAAAACAAACAACCTCTCCACGGAGGCATGTCCCAACACAGAAGAGCTACCTCCGTCAGAAAGACTCTGCATTACATCCACACCTTATTGACAAAGAACATTCTTTTCAGGACCTGAATGTTCACATTTTGAACAAAGAAGACAGATGGTTTTAGAGGGGCATGAAAAAAGCCATCTATGTCAAGAAAAAAAACCCAACCTTAAACAGAGAAAGTAGACTCAGCTTTCATCTTTCAAAAACCTACAAAACAGCAATAGAATTAATTCCTTCCTGTTATCATCGCAACCCCCACCCCCATACAGGGGACCAGAATATTTCGCCTGTTCAGCCAGGCCAACAATTCCCCCAAACTACCCTCCTGTCGGAGACATAGACCAGCATCAGGTATTGCAGGCTAACAAAGAACCCAAATTACTGCCTATTGCTAAGGGGTGGACCGGTTTGTCTGGTTCAATTCAACCCAGTCTCATGGGAAAATGTACCCCCACTACGTTGGTCCACACTGCAAAACTTAGTGGAGGTACATTAATGGCCATTTTTTTGTGGTACTGTTACGTTTCTCCTGCCTATACACTTTCTATTGTTTTACGTCCTAGTCACGTAACTTTCAAGATTCCAGCTGGGAGAAGAAAAAAATATATATAGATGGCCGACATTCGTTAATTTTTTTGTGGAAAGATTAATAACTTGAGTTTGTTTTTGCATTAAAATGAGTTTTGATTACATTTCTAGTGAGAAATGTATAGTTTGTTGCCAGAATATTTACTCAGGGAATGTACATATTCACTTGCTTGTTCGTTTCTTGCAAAGATTTTTCAAGATAATGTGAAACTGTAACATTTTGGTACAAACATGGCTGAGATTTCTCTAACTTTTAGTGGGAAAACCAATAATTTCAATCAGTTTCTGCATTTAAATGGGTTTTGATTACATTTATAGTGAGAAGTGTAGGGTTTATTTACATAATATTTACTTAGTGAACATACATAATCACCCGCTTGCTAGTTTTTGCTACGTTTTTCGGATCTCGTCAGGATTATGTGAAATTGCAACGTTTTGGCTGCTACCTATCGCCTAGCATTTAGCTGCCGCCCCGATTCAACATTGAAATCTTTGTGATTTAACTCCATCTGACGGATCAAACCCTCGCCACTGCGTGTGTTGCGTCTGAGGTTGATTTTCAGATCAATGCATTACGTCGTGGCATACGGGAGAAAATAATTAAACTAGTTAAAAAAAGGATCATGGGTTAAGATCGGATGTGTTTTATTTGGAAATCTACCGGATCCTTTGTGCATTTCACTTCCTGTTTGGTGCGATCTCATTGATGGGTTTTGACCAGATTTTGACCAAAGAGGAACTAAAAAAAAATAAAATAAAACAATTTAAATACACAACCAGCATATCTGGAATCAATGACAGAGAGCATACATAATCACCCGCTTGCTAGTTTTTGCTGCGGTTTTTCGGATCTCGTCAGGATTATGTGAAATTGCAACGTTTTGGCTGCTAGCCATCGCCTAGCATTTAGCTGCCGCCCCGATTCAACATTGAATTCTTTGTGATTTAACTGAACCGAATTTGATCCCTATTACTTTTTGGCCACATGCAGATTATTGTGCTGCCTGGTCAACCCTATGAAAATGTTCTGGAACTGCCACTGAACTGACACCCAATGCATGGAGGGTAACCCAAAAAGGGCCATTGTTAGAGAAACTGGGTGCCTACAAAGTGCTGTTTTCAAGCTAATTAATGGAAAGTTAGGTGGAATGAAAAGTAGACAAATAACAATTACAATTCCTTCAGGGAAAGGGGAAGGAAAATCATTTATTAAGAGGAAAGAAATTGAAAAATGGCAAAAAAAAAAAAAAAAGGTGGAATGAAGATAAAAATGAAGAAGGTTATATAAAGTACAAAAGTCAGTATTAAATAGAAATATTAATGAGAGAAACCGAAGGGAAGAAATAATAATGATCAGATTAAGAGTAGGTCATACTTATTTAAATGACAATTTATACTTAATAGGGAGGAAAAATAATGATAAATGTGAAGGATGTGGAGAGATAGAAAATATAGAACACGTATTGATGAACTTTAAAACATCTGGACCTGAAAGGAAGAAATTGAAAAGAGGACAGGCCAAGAATGGAGTCTTAAAGGATTATTGGGAAATAAAGGAAATATAAAAGATATTTATAGATTAAGGAAAGCATTATTTATTTATCTTCAGAATACAAAATAAAAAAATAGAATTTAATAGATGTAAAACAATGTTGCTACACACTCATGAACAGTAGGTGGCGGTATGCCCGCCCCTTCCCTAGAGCCCGGTGGGAGCGAAAACATTTTGAATGGAAATCAGTGGGGAGAAATTAATAAACTTCTGGTCCCAGTCGCTCTCTGTCACTGATTCCAGATATGCTGGTTGTGTATTCAAATTGTTTTTTGTTTTTTTTAGTTCCTCTTTGGTCAAAATCTGGTCAAAACCCATCAATGAGATCGCACCAAACAGGAAGTGAAATGCATAAAGGATCCGGTAGATTTCCAAATAAAACACATCCGATCTTAACCCATTATCCTTTTTTTAACTAGTTTAATTAGTTTCTCCCGTATGCCACGACGTAATGCATTGATCTGAAAATCAACCTCAGACGCAACACACGCAGCGGCGAGGGTTTTATCCGTCAGATGGAGTTAAATCACAAAGAATTCAATGTTGAATCGGGGCGGCAGCTAAATGCTAGGCGATAGGTAGCAGCCAAAACGTTGCAATAGGCTCTATGCACAGCTCCACTACTTCCTGAATTTAATGCAGCTCCTTTGTTTCCTGTCTTTCATGATTGGATGCACTGATTAATCCAGGTGTGTATGACCTAAGTAACTGGCCAGACACACCTGGATTAATCAGTTCGTCCAGTAATGAAAGACAGGAAACAAAGGAGCTGCATTAAAATCAGGAAGTAGTGGAGCTGTGCATAGAGCCCATTTCACATAATCCTGACGAGATCCGAAAAACGTAGCAAAAACTAGCAAGCGGGTGATTATGTATGTTCACTAAGTAAATATTATGTAAATAAACCCTACACTTCTCGCTATAAATGTAATCAAAACCCATTTAAATGCAGAAACTGATTGAAATTATTGATTTTCCCACTAAAAGTTAGAGAAATCTCAGCCATGTTTATACCAAAATGTTACAGTTTCACATTATCTTGAAAAACCTTTGCAAGAAACGAACAAGCAAGTGAATATGTACATTCCTTGAGTAAATATTCTGGCAAATGTAATCAAAACTCATTTTAATGCAAAAACAAACTCAAGTTATTAATCTTTAATAACTTTAATCTTTCCACAAAAAAATTAACGAATGTCGGCCATCTATATATATTTTTTTCTTCTCCCAGCTGGAATCTTGAAAGTTACGTGACTAGGACGTAAAACAATAGAAAGCGTATAGGCAGGAGAAACGTAACAGTACCACAAAAAAATGGCCATTAATGTACCTCCACTACGTTTTGCAGTGTGGACCAACGTAGTGGGGGTCCATTTTCCCATGAGACTGGGTTGTTCAATTTGCATGTTTTCTACGCCAAAACAAGGCTTTGTTTTTGGTCCACTCTATAGAGCCTCAAACTCAACACTATTTCTGACATTTTTAATTGAAAGATCTTCCTGGACAGGAACATCTTCAAACTTGGAAAGCGGATTGCCTTTTAACTTTTTTGGAATGATTATGACCTGGATGACAAAGAACCTTCGCCAGCATATTGCATCAACTCATTGACTCGAAGCAATCCCTCACACCAAGCATGCTTGTAGCGACAGGGGAGACGAAATACTCAGTTTTCACAGGAAGACAGGAGGGAGGGGCGAGCAGCAATTGAGGGGAGGAAGTTGCTGGTTGAATTAGATAGGGGGGTGATGGGGGGCTGTGGGTGGCCTGTGTGGGGCATGTGGCCCTGGGGTGGCTTTTGCTGGAGGTGGTCTGGTCCGGGTGCAGGGTGGGGGGCCGGGCCCGAAGCAAAAACAAGATGGGTTGGTGTGGCAGTGTCACTGTTCCGCTCCCCCCCATCCAGATTTTAGGTTCACTTATTGGGTCATCTGATAATCCCGGGTCCAACCACCGGTGCCACAGAGTATTTGGTCCTAGGATTATTGGATGTGAGTGTTATGTGTGAATGTGCGTCCACGTTTTTTGGCTCATCTCTACAGAGTCTGTGTGGTATGAGTCGGGGCACTAGGGTGGCAAGGCGTGATTGAGACTTTTTCTTT